CTAATTCTTTCATTATGGTGAATATGATACCATATGTAGATTCTACCGTTAGTGAACGGTATTGTAATAAGTCGGTAATTTCAGGTTATGTCGCGAAAAATAATGAATTAATCAAGTACAAACAGTAACGTTTTATAATATAATTATAACTCTGCCGTAATCGAAGATCGCAGAATTATCTGAAACATATTGAGTTATAGGTGATGAAACCACAGGCAAAACCGCAATGTTTGGCATTTAGAACAGTTACGGTGAATTCTGATATACATCATTCATAAACGTTGAGAAACTTTCTTGATATTAGTGTTTATTCTGTTTGACTTGAAGTATAAGGAGCCAATCTCGTTTCTTGTTCTCACAACAACAAGTACTTAATTTGGTGATAACAAGTTTAGGACTAAAACGTGTGACACGTCGTCATTAGCCTCGTAAGACTTTTCGGCACTACTGTGGGCCAGTTCGACTAGTTAGCAAATAAAATGCATTAATAATATTTTAATTGCATACTTTCCCACCAGTGGCTCACCTGAAGTCTTATAATACTAAAAACCGGGTTTCGATACCCGTGGTAGGCACAGTACACATAGCCCAATGTGTAGCTTTGTGATTAACAACAAACAAACAAACAAAAACTGCACACTTTGTAGTTTTGAAGACCACTGCCAGCTAATGTTATCATTCAATACCAAAACTCGTCAGATTAGCTGAGCCACTTCATTATAGGTTTAAATTTAAGTGCTATTTAGAACAGCCCTTAGATATTTATCATGCTGTGTATAACGTCGAAGCTGGCGAAGAGTGAAGTCTTTAACAATGAAAAAAAATGGGTTAAAAGCTAACTATAGTTAATGTAGTAAGAATGTCTGAGCATGTGCTTGACTCATTGCTCTTTTTAGCCTAAAAGAAAAAGTAATAATTTAATACCGTGAATGTCACGCTTTTCACAATATCATCATTTAGCAACAAACTAAAAGAACTTACCGCTTAGTTCAGATAGGAAGAATTATCAAACTAAGTAATCTTACATATTCCTTATTAGCACAAGTTAGTTATGAGAAACATACACATATTGTAATGACCAATGCAATGTAATGTAAAGAAAATTTTAGGGATGGATATTTTAGGATACTTAAATAAATAGATAATTTACTTGCATAATCTGACCACGAAATTTTTCTGCGATTAGAAATACTGATAGCGGTTAAAAATTAGAAAAAGAGTAAAATTCATAGCTTTTAAGAAGTCAATTCGTGCTGATTGTAATTTTCTCTTTATGAAGCGTTCATTCTGCGAGAGATTTCAAACAATAAAATAAAACCAGATGTTTTAAATTTTATAGATTCATTATCAAACTGGGCAATTTTATAGATTCATTATCAAACTGGGTAATTTTATACATTCTGTATCAAACTGGGTAATCTTATACATTCTGTATCAAACTGGGTAATCTTATAGATTCAGTGTCAAACTGGGTAATCTTATACATTCTGTATCAAACTGGGTAATCTTATAGATTCATATCAAATTGGGTAATCTTATAGATTCAGTATCAAACTGGGTAATTTTATAGAATCAGTATCAAACTGGGCCCGAACCTATAATATTATCCAGTTTCAAACTGAATCCTTAAGGTTACCTAGTTTGGTACTGAATAATTTTTTCAGCCATATTAAACTACTATATTAAGAGTAAAAACAAAAACGATAGCCCATTGTGTAGCTTTTTGCTGAACTTCAAACAATCAAACAAATTTGATCAAAGTTTAAAGTAAAACACGAAGTAGAAAAGGGCGGAACTATGGCCACGCCTATTTTGAGGTTGCATGGTGGTTAAAACCACCAAGTGTTATATTGTTATTCTGCCCATTCCTACCTAGTTTCCTTACTTTTTGGTGCTTCCATTCCTAATTTCTAATTTATTTAGTTAAAATTGTTTTTACACTTGCCTTAAAGCTTTTTTCGTACAAAGTTTCGAGAGTAACTGTGCTCTAGGTCTATCCTTCTCGTAGCTTTTCTTAGAGCTATCTCTGGACATTTCCTGTGTTTGGTTGATAACTTTGTTGTAGTTTTTCTTCCATCTAGCCAGGGTGGAAGCCTTTTTCTTTTTGGCTGGATTTATGGTTAAGGCTTGTTCTGCATATACTTTTCCAACATTATCTCTATTCTTGCACTAATGCTCTCTTTGCTGGGACAAAGACTTTTCAAGGTTATTAACATAAGATTTTAATTAGAACCCAGATCTAGAGAATATACGTAGTCCACCTTTTTTTAGCTGATACATCTGCAGAATGATCACGTAGTGCGTGCGCATAAGCAGTCGTGCACCCGTACGTGATATAAGAGAGTGTTGTTACTTGGCAACTGACAGAGCGTGCTCATAATCAGAGAATATGGCTACTAATGTATTGTTAGCTCGTTAGTAGTGTTGTAAAATGGTTACTGGTATTACCAAGGTTATAAGTAAAACTAAGAAAAAACGCTTTTAGCCAAAGTAGCATAATTCAATCATCTGCATTTAGCTTTGCATAAGGTGAAGGCAGGAAAGAGTTATGCCTTTCCAACAACGCCAGTCAGGTAGTCAGATTGACAAATTTGTGGTTTTGCGAAATTTTTGTTTTTACTCTACCGACTTTCTCAAGTGATTTAGTGGCTTGTTACACTACAGTTGTTTTTTTTTACTACTCAACAGTGTGTGTGTAAAGTGCTTATAAGATTTTGTTTACATGCTGTTTGCAGTGTCTTTGAGATTTAAATTTGCATTGCACATATTACACACCTGGCCCATTCCTTCTATAAGTACTACCGTATTTATGATACAGACGTTAAAATAAATGCAGTTCTTTTTTTCACTAGTAAAAACTGTTTTCGTAATAACTTAAAATGTATCATGTTCAACCTTTTTTCAGCGCACGGTCTGACAAATTTTTTGTAAATTGCTTACAGACTATTATAGTATATCAACCTAGAGATATGAAGTACACACAATGTAGATATAGTTCTCCACAGAATCTTTGAAATAAAAGATTATAGGCTGTTGGGAGTGAATATGACTATAGATGTGAAATACATACAGTAAATGGATGTTTCTAGAGGTCAACGAGAATGTTGTTTCATAATTTAGCTTTTTCAAGATGCTTTGAAGTAAACCTTATGGTACAATGAGCTAAGAAGTAAATAACACTTTTCAGTTTCACGTATTCCAAACACTTGTACAAATTATGAATTTCACGAAAATTGAACCTTTCTCTGAATGTTTCTGTTGGGAATCACTAACTTTATTAAATGACTAAGCAAAAAAAATATTTTAATTGAACACGATATCTGCGTTCCACTTCAACTGGATATTTTAAGTAAGTTTCTTTGTTTTTTGCGCAAAGCCATATAATTGACTATCTGTGCTTTATTTTTCGCTGGGAATCGAAACTCTGATTTTAGCATTGTAAGGCTTGAAACTTATCGCTGACCCACCGGAGAACTTTAATCAAAACAAGCTTGACTCTTTTGTACGTATTCCAGCCTAAAGACGTTAGTACAACATACAGTGAAAAGAAAGAGTCAAATGAACACAAACATTCTGTTATTTCACGACACAAACTATGATCCCAAAATTCAAATTTGTGTGAACTACAACCAATTTGATTGTTGTAGATATATATATATTTATATATACCCAATTTCTTTTGTTTCTAGCAACGTAAATGACACGTGGTTTTTAATTCAAATGTATTTTGTGTTGTAAAGTCACATTTTTTATAACTAGTTTTAATATAAACCTTTGAGTACATGTTAGAAACGAATCGCTTGTCATCTGTTCTTATATAGCGTTTGACTTTTAAGTTATGAGATGTCTTCATTTATTAATATTGTAACGTGTATATAAATTATATAAAATTCAACCCAAAGACTAGCCAAGTACCAGCATTTTTTTTCGTTAGCCCACAGTGGTTGCGTTTTTTTAACTTCAACTTATGTTGTAGCCATTAAAACACCAAGCTTGTGGTCAACAAGATGTTTTGTTTTTAACACAACTATTTAACAGTGGATTTATAAAAATGCATGCCTTTGAGTATCAATGCAAATCTAAGCCCCCCCCCCCCCCCCAGTGGCACAGCGGTATGTCTACGGACGTACAACGCTAGAATGCGGGTTTCGATACCTGTGATAGGCAGATCACAGATAGCCCATTGTGTAGCTTTGTGCTTAATTACAAACAAACAAACAAGCAAATCTAAGCCTCTGTATTTCCTATGAATAAAAGATCAGAGATCCTTAACTCGAAATTTCACAGAAATCATAGTATATGTTTTAACTAATCTAGGAGATAACATCATTAATGACGGCCTTTCTTAACTATGGGAGTATATTCCGGTTACGCTGATTTTCCAGCCTGTTATCTACTACTTATATTAATTCATATTTGTACAATGAAGGCATAAGATTTTAATCTTTAGTAGACCACGGTACTGAGTTGGTAGGTTCTTAACGACTCGATAATGGTTGCTCTTACCTTGCCACTAGGGGGTAAAGTGAATTAAAGTCTCTTCAGTGAAACTTTCATAATTCTACATTTAAAAAAGACAGATTCGTTGATTTTAATGATTTGATGTTGAGAGTTGTAATTCTAAGAACCCAAGAGTAATGGCAAAGAAAAATATATTGTAATATGTCAATCACACTACATCTGCCGTATTGAGTGCCGACGAGGCTTTTCGCCCAATACTAGGTTCATCAGACCGGTTGGGATACGACAGACATAGTAGTGGTCTATGCGCTAATTATATCATCAACTTTTGAAAACATCGATTGTTTTAGTGTGAATTAGATTACGTTAGCGAATTGTAATTATTATCAATTTCATTTCAGTCTTTTACAAACTAGATTTTAATAATGATGATTATCTGTTTGATTGTATTAACTATAGATATATCAGCAAAAATATACATATTTAAATTTTTTCAGTTCATTTTTGACTGTGAATACTTTGTTTTTGTTTCTTAATAGGGCTGACAAATACCTGGGGGATGAAGCAGCTGCAGAAATTATAAGGAGAAAAATGGAGGCGGGAGAGAAAAAAGCCACAAACGTAGAAAAGAAATTTTTTGACGAAAATGCATCATTAATTCGGTCAGAACTGGCCAAGTCTGGTTCCTTGTCTCAGGAGGAAGATTCTTGGGCTCATACATCCTCTTGCACGGAAGAGTGGTGGTCCTGTGCATCAAATGGCACTTCCGGCGAAGAATGGAAATCAGCTGACGAAGGTCAATCAGATAGCGCAAGATTTAGAGCAAAGACAAGAGACCCTTCTAAAGCGGCACTGAATATTCAGGCTCCCCTAAATTCCCAGTCTGGGAAGTTAATGGAGGAAGAAAAGAAATGGACACAAACCAAAGAAACGCAAGAAATGTCACAAATTCAGTACACGAAAGAAATGACTGAAGCTTGTACAACAACTAAGTTCAGTTTTCAACATGTGTACGAAACACGACAACCGCAAAGCTTGACTGCTGCGGCTCAAACCACAGCTCCTAAGTTACCAGAAAGGTCAAAGTTCTGGCCTAGTGTAGATACAAAGAAAAGTCCATCTCCGCAACCTGATGATACTAAAACAGGGCAAGAATATTCTCGACAAATTGAAGAAACGAAAAAAACCGATATCGATTACACCGACCTACTTCTACAGAAAATGACAGAGGTGAGTGATGATTCATTAAATGTTATTGACTGAATATTTTTATTATTTTTCTTTAAGTAATGGTCAATTTTTAAATGTCTTATACATTCATTCACATAATCGAAATGCTTCGTTTAGCTAGCATGGAAAAGGACCAATAATCTAAATGTTAAACAGAGATATAATCAGATCAAACTGCATTTTAGAAACAGGAAAAGGACCAATAATCTAAATGTTAAACAGAGATATAATAAGATCAAACTACATTTTAGAAACAGGAAAAGGACCAATAATCTAAATGTTAAACAGAGATATAATTAGATCAAACTACATTTTAGAAACAGGAAAAGGACCAATAATCTAAATGTTAAACAGAGATATAATCAGATCAAACTACATTTTAGAAACAGGAAAAGGACCAATAACCTAGATGTTAAACAGAGATATAATCAGATCAAACTGCATTTTGGAAACAGGAAAAGGACCAATAATCTAAATGTTAAACAGAGGTACAATCAGATCAAACTACATTTTAGAAACAGGTAAGTGATAACTACTTTTTTGTTGTTGTTGTTATTTTGGTCAAATATGCAAACTGCTCACTTTGGGAAATTACAAAACAAGAAGAAGGTCTGTTGATGTGACATTTAAATAAAAACTCATGCTTTAGGGATAAGTTGGGCTGTTTATGTGGCTTAGTTAATACATATTAAACGCTTTAGGGAAAGGACGGTCTATTTGTCTAATATTTGAATGGAAATTAGTGCTTTAAGAGGAAGGAGGTTTATTTAACTACCCGTTTGATATAAATATATGCTTTAGGTAGAGAGTTGACTTGTTTATGTGATGTTTAATGCTTGTGGTGAAGGTGGAATCTTTGTCTGAGCTATATACAGAAATTTATCCTTTTGCTGCATTTTGACTTGCAAACAAAGCGATGTATCGGGAGATTGCTTGAATGTTACAAATGAATGATTAGCTTTTAAGACAGTGGATAAGAGCAATGATGTTTCTGAATTTCAAAGTAGTATGATAGTGTATACTTGTTTTTCGGGAGGTTTTTGCTACCAAAGGCCGTTTTTTTTTTGTTGTTGTTGTTTTTGTTTGGCTGGTTTGCGACGTTTGCTTCTAAGAAACACTGCCACCACCAAATATTAGTATTTGCTATCTGATAGAGAAAGAAAATAATTGGAAAGACTTGTAAAATGAATTAGACGTCATTTGTTTTTAAATTGACCAACTCATTCAACAGTGACTAGGATTCAACTATCTTTAACCATATTGTGCAAGGACGTTACGAAAAAAATTATATGGCAGTCAACAACCAATTTTAGAAAAACTATTACCTCACATGGACTCAAGAAAGCAAGGATTCAGTGATGTTTGGATAACAAACTGTAGATTGGAAGCTATGATGTGGTTTGGTAAATCTAATTTTATCTTTATCTGTATAGCATATTAAGTAAAAGTTTGGAAAACCCATATAAGACACAAGACCCTGTTTGTGTTGTTTCGTCAGTGCAAGCTATTGCAATGGTATAATGGTGAGGGGTGATGTTATCGTAGCAAGAGATCGTCCTTTGATTTATTTAGGCGACCAGATAATATCTAAAGTTTTCTTGCATGTTATGATGTATTCCATCCGCAATGATGTATTTCCACGGCGATTAAGGAGTTTTTTAACGAAAATAATGTAAAAATCTATTGCACTTGTGTTATCCAAAGTTACTTAGAAAAGCATGATGGGACCAGTGGTTAGTGGGCCCATACTTTTCGATGAATCATGGATCGAGTTCTGTTGCCGCAAAACCGCACTTTGGTACCATGGGTGCTCTATAAAAGTGACTGTCGAATCCACTATTCTGCCAGATAAGAATAGCCCATGAGTTGGTAATAGGCGATGTTGACTAGCTGCCCTTTCTCTAATATACCAGTTCAAAATTAGGGTTGGCTGTGCGTATATAGCTCCTTGTGTAGCTGTCAGGATTTTAGTATATGGGCTGGGATTCTTCTACAGTAGGTGTCTGTGACTTGTTGGCGATAAATTCGAACAATAGACGGACAGCACACAATCCACTCGTTTTAAAATAGTATATTCCAAACAAGTCAAATGTATGTACAAAACTTCTTTACACGATGGGATATCACAGTTGTATCTAAAACTCTGAATAATTATCTTTTCTTGTCAAAAGTCCACACAGTCTGATTCAATTACCTTAGAACTCAATTCACAAAACGAATTATCTTTCTCTACTCTGTTTTTTACTGTACAATCTGCGATAAAATGACTTACGTTACCTCTTGGGTTACCACATTTGTAACCAGAACTTTAAATAATTGTATCCTTTTCGTCAAAGTCCACACTGACGTGTTCAATTACTTTAGAACACCCTTTTGACAAGACAAATTATTCTCCTTGTCATTTAACTTGCGCTTATTTGGTCGTCTATATATATATATATATATTGTCCAACTGAGGCCTAGAAATTTCTACAAAGTAGGAGATGCTATGACGTAACAATATTCACTTAAGGCAACGAGGAAAATGCAAAGGTTCAAGTAATGTGACGTCAATTTACAACAATTGAACTACACACACAACGTACAACTTTTACCGAGTTACGTAACGAACTTTATCGTAACTATCGCTTTTAAAATAATCAACTTTTAACACTCTTGTTATAAAAATTAAATAATCATCAAATATTAAATCACTAAATGAAATAAATAATAACTCTTACACTAAACAGTCTTGTATATCCAACAGTACCTCTGCGTGAAAATTTTAAAACAGTACACAACAATTTTTGGCTAACACAACCACTGACTCTCAGTCCAATTGAGTACGTTTTGAATGAGTTTGAATGTCATATTTGCCATCATAATCCTCTGTCGATGTTTGTGAACCATTTATAGCTAGTACTCGGACAAAAATGGTTACAACAATGAGCTCGTGTGAGTCCTATGCCATCTATGCCAGAGTTCCCAAAGTGTGGGTCAGAACCCCAACGAGGTCGCGGTAGGTTTGAATTAGGCTTCAAGCACTCCGATAATATTTTTCTGCAGCATTTATAAAACAAGTAGTCATTTATATATTTTTTACCTTGTACATAATACGAATAAAATATATTAAGTTATAAAAATCTTTATAAAAGATTACCTATTAATACCTGTGTAATTCGGGATTTTCCTTACTAGTGTAACATGAGGTAAAGGATTATAATCGACCGAGGGTCGTGGAAACAGAACTACGGCTAACAAGTATATAAACACGCTTGAAAAAAACATGCTCTCTCAAACAAGTGCATGACTAGTATTGTTACATCCCCATCCATTTTTATAATATTCTTATTGTATTCTTATCAGTTTTACAATTTCTCGGAATTATTTAAATATAGGACCATAGCACCACGAAAAGGTTTTTGAAACCACTACATTCTATGCTATTCCGAATGTTATCACGGTGGAAAGTGGCCCAGTCAAATAGCTGGTGGCTCCCTCATAAAGTGGCTAGTTAGTGTAAAATTAATTCTTTTAAGAAAGCTTTAATTTAGTTAACTTTATGTGGTTGGTGAGCATAAACTGTGTTGTGTTATTTAACAATCGTTAGTTTTAATGGGTATAATTTGTTTGTCTTTGTATTTTTTGACAGATAGTTGATTTACTTATTTCGTTGTTATGAAGAAATTAATGATTTAGTGGATGTCCTGTTTCTTTTGTCTCCCGACATCACCTTTTGATAGAACTACTGTATAAATTACACGAGAATGATCTACTGAATACCTATATTCACAGTATTATCCTAATTTAAAACAAGAGCTGGCGCTAAATAGCGTCTGATAGCAAAGTAAAAAAAAAAAAACAAGAAGGAATTCTCAATAGCCGCGGCACTTTAAATTCTTTTAGGCAGGATTAGAGTAAATTAATATTTGAGACTTTTTTCATTTAATTAGCTATATTTTTGTGCGCCATCAATACCAATCGTGGGTCGCGCGTATATCCGATTCGATTTTTTTTGCTCATCGGGATCTCTACCAGCCTACCCTCAAATTGATATCCTTTTAGGCAAGATCTTGGGCTTGGTCAAATACACCAATCAAAATGCTTGACTCCCTGAGTCCAAAACTGTAATAATATCTCAAATCGGTCAAGAGAAGAGGGAGCTATGAACTAAAAGTTTGTACTTGAAAACTTATTCTGTGAGCCGCTATGCCGTAGACCAAAAAGGAACATTAGCGGTGGGACAAATATATTTCGAGCTAGACTTATGTGTAACATCGAATTGTGGGGATTTTTTTTTCTTGATTTTTTTAACATACGTACTAGATACACAAAAGTTTGTTTGCGATAACGTATTTAACAACAGTTGAAGTTAATCAACTTATTTTTATCATTACCTGTTATAGAAGGCCATCGAAATTATATTTAACAACGGATGAAAATGTATGTATATATTAATTATTATTATTATTAACTTTTTGGACTAGAGAGTTTTTATGAATTAATATGATGTGGCTTTTTTTTAAAAAAACAAAAGCTCAATTTGTTTTGTTTGTAATTAAGCACATAGCTACACAATGGGCTATCTGTGCTCTGCCCACCACGGGTATCGAAACCCGGATTCTAGCGTTGTAAGTCCGCAGACATGCCGCTGTGCCACTGGGAGGTAAAAAGCTCAATGAACGATTTGTAAGATAAGTCTTGTTATATGGATAAGCTTCAAAATATTTCATAAAAATCATCCAGCTAAGAACGAGAAATTACGTTCCACAATAAAAAAAAGACCTTCATCTATAATTTATATCATGAAGTGTGTTAATAATAAAGTAAAAGTCAACTAAAAATGCATTTTTCGTTAATTCTTTTTGCGTTACCCAACATGGTATTTTGAGTAGAATGTTAGCAACGTGTTGATTGTTTCAACATCTAAATAGATTACTGTCCATTTTGAAATACTGAGGAAGAATACCTTTGTAGATAAGTATTTTCATTGAGATTACATGGAAGCAGATAGTATTCAT